CATTTTACTTATCTTGTAGGTTTTTGGACCTGTTCCTTAGAGAGCTGGAGACATAGCCTAGTTGCTGGTGTTTTACTGAGTGGTACAGACCTAAAGCATCAAGAATAAAGGAAAAAGGAAGTGAGGCAAGTAAAGAGTAAAGACACTAACGAGGAGATCTGAACTTTGCCGGGAAACTGAGCTGGCTGCGTAGTCACGTGATGTATCTCCTAGCGAGGCCACGTGAAACTCAGCCACTTCACAGAACAGCCCCCTCTTCTGTCTTCTATTGGTCCAAGTTCACCCCTTGGAGCATTAACCCACCTCAGGCAGGCGTTGGCACGACTCCTGGTCAGCTGCTAGAGAAGCCAGATCCCGTTCCCTGTGGCGCAGTGTTGCATCTGAGTCTGGACATGGCGGGGTGAGCCACAGCCTGCACATAGTAGGGATCTGGTTGATGTGGGTAAAGTAGAGACTCACTTCTAAGCTGGCAAGAGGGAAGGAGGAGGAACAATCAGGAAGCCATTATAATAGTTCTGCCAAGAGATGATGGCAGCTCAGAATAGAGAAATATTAGTAAAGGTGGTGATAACCAGTAATCTTTGACATATATTTTGGAGCTGAAGCCAGTTTAGTCAGAAACTCAGGTAACAGAAGGTAATTCATAGGTGGGCATGTGTGGAAACAGGTTTTTCTGGGCAGCGTCTGGAAACTGAGATGTTTCTGGGCATTCCTCCTCTCGTGTTCAGTGACTGAAACACCGCGGCTTCTCCCTGCATCCTCGGGGTAGGACAGGTAACTCAGCTTTCCAGCTCGCCCAGAAGCTCCACTGAGTAGGCCACTTCAGTGTCCTTCCAAGACTCACACCGGGTTTTTATTCCTATCTGCTATATCTTTAAGTTGCTCCCCTCAGGCCAGTTCTGCTTTACAGTCTCAGTGGGTTTCAGAGGAAAAAGGGCCTTTCAGACCTTCCCGGTAGCACCGCCACGTGAACTCTGTGCCTCTATTGGCACCAGCGGCTCCGGGCCCTGTGGTGGCTGTGAGGTTGCCGCTGGGGTGCCAGGCTGAGGGCTGAGTGGTGCTGAAACCCAGCTGTGCTCTGCATTTTAGGCTACATTCCTGGGCATGAAGCTTCATTCACTCACAGGAAGAGAACTGTTTTCCTAATTCGTGGGTAGCTGGTGTGTGGGCTAGTGAAAGTGTATAGTGTGTGAATTACCATATCCATGGTGACTGTACTTGGGAGGCTCTCCATTCACATTTTTAAATATTTGTCGGGGGAGCATTTATGTTACATAAGAAAAACCATACATATATAAGACAGTGTATACTGTCCATATGTGTGTGTGTATATACATGCTTCTACATACATATATACACAGATGGTTTTGTGAAACCTAATTTTTTTTCACTCATCTAACTCTTCTAGATCTTGAAAGTATATGGAGCCTTTATCATGCTAGAAAGGAGCATAAAAATTGTATGTACTCAGTGAATTAGAAGAGGGAATTTTTGGTAGCCATTGACAATTTGTAGCTATCATTGGGGCTTGGTAGAAAAGGAAGTAAGAGAACAGGAAGGCTTTCTGGTGTTTTTCCCTGTGGGAAGGATTGGTTATTGCTAGAGTTATTTGGACTCAGAATAACCAAAACAGTCTTGGGAAAGAACAGAGTTGGAGACTCACATGTCAAAAATTTTGAGACTTACAACAGAGCAACAGTAATTGGACAGCGTAGCGGTGGCGTAAGGATAAATGTATGTGTAACTCAAAGGGATGGAATTAAGGGTCCATAAACAAAACCTAACATTTCATTAACAAGGTGCCAAGGCATTTCAGTGGGGAGAAGAATAGTCTGTTCAACCCCTAGTACTGGAACATTTGGATATCTACGTGCAAACGAATGAATTTGCTTCCCATCTTACACCATATTAAAAAATCAACTCAATGCCCTGGCTGGTGTAGTTCAGTGGATTGAGCACAGGCCTGTGAACCAAAGCATTTCCGGTTTGATTCCTGGTCAGGGCACATGCCTGGGTCGCAGGCCATTTCCCCAGTATGGGATGTGCTAGAGGCAACTGTACATTGATGTTTCACTCCCCCTCTTTTTCCCTCTCTTCCCCATCTCTCTAAAATAAATAAATAAGATCTTTTTTAAAAATGTACACCCAGTGAATATGGATCAAAGTCCTAAGACGTAAGAGCTAAAATGATACAAACTTTAGAAGGAAACAGTAGGTGTAAATCTCTGTCACTTTGGGGTAGGTAAGCAGTTACTTACATTTGACACCTAAAGCATAAGTGAGAGAAGAAAAAAGATAAGTCAGACTTGCTCAGAATTTAAGTCATCTGTGTTTCAAAGGATATCATCAAGAAAATGGAAGGACAATGGACAGAATGGAAAAAATATTCACACATCATATAGCTGATAATCATATATTTCATTAGTATCCAGAATATATAAAGAACTCTTAGAACTCAATGATAAAAAGACAACCCCATTTTAAAAATGGACAAAGAATTTGAAAATATGTCTTCAAAAAAGATATACAAATAGTAAGCACAGGAAAAATGCTTAACATTATTACTCTTTAGGGAAATGCAGACCAGAAGCACAGTGTTATACCATGTCACACGCACTGGGATGTCTGTACTGAAAAAGACACAATGACAGGTCCTGGGGAGGACCTGGAGCCCGTACACGTTTCAAACGGCACTGCCGCTGTGGCAGCTCCTCAGAAGGGTGACAGTTGCCATGTGACCCGGTAGTGCCACTTCTAGGTACGTACCCAAGAGAGATGAAAACTTGTTCACACAAAAACTTGCACATGAAAGTTTATAGCATCATTATCCATAATAGCCAAAAAGCATAAATAACCCAAATGTCCATCAAATGATGAGTAGGTTTTTTAAATGAATCCTTTGGTGGTTGCTATGGCGTGAACTCACTCTACAAGCTGGAATTCGTAGGAATAATTCTCTATTGAGTAACAAGGTAATCAAATAGCTGATGATGAAAAGCTTTTTTTTAAAAAACGTTAGTTCTTCTGAAAACTGTAACTAATAGTAGAATGGTAGAATATAACCATTATGCTATACATACTGGAATAGGTAATGGTGATCATTGGTTGCTAATGAGGGAACTTGGTAATGAGTGGATCAGGCTGATGATAGTGGAACTCACTGATCCATGTTAATATCACTAAATGCCATTGTGTGGCTCCTGCCTCCAGCCGGATGACTCAGACGAGGGAGCTCTCGTTTGGGGGGAGCCCATTCGCTTTGGAAACCCGTCCTCTGCAGTGTTGGCTGCGGAGGGCGCCTCTGCCGCCCTCGTCTTGTCTCCAGGCTCCTCTTTTAACACCTCCGCTCCTGGCTGCCTTGGTCGGAAAGTTTGGGTTCGGGCAAGATGGAATTTGCGTTTCCACTTTCCTTTATGTTTTCCGGTGATTCTCGAGAGGAGACAGGGTCCTAGATGACCAGTTCATCTTAAACCTAGGAGTCTTTGAGAACTAAATCAGTAGACCAAGTAAGAGGTAAGACCTGAGCCAGGGCAGAGGCAACGCTGGCACTGGCAGGACAGATTGATTTGTCGTTTGGGGATATTAGACAGGGCGCATAGTAGGGACTCTATTCATGTGTGTTGGTTGTTGAATGGACTCAGTGAATTCGTCCAGTTTTAGGGTTTCAGTATAAATTGTGCCTGTATGTGTAGCCCACTTTGGAGTTACCAGGCGTGGACTGAGTCAGGCCCCGGCTTCTAGAGGAGAGGTTGCAAACTGATGGCGGAGAGGTCAGATCCAGCCAGCAACTGTGTTTTATTTGGCCTCGGGGATGGCTTTTCCCCTTTCATTTGTTGCCAGAATTTCAAAATAGTGAGATTTCACATAAGAATTGGGGTCTCTGGCTTCCCTTGAAAAAGAAGACAGTCTGGCAACACTGAGCTTACACTCCCCCGTGGCAACAGTGTAGCCGACGCCAAACAGTGACTTCACTGGACCGGTCCTCTGCTGCTCCTGTCGCTGACTGGGCCTTGCGAGCATTTCACGTTTGTGACCCTTACTGCAGTGGCTTCAGAAGCTACTTTCTAAATCTTACATCATTACTTTTAATTACCTGTCTTCTTGCAATGCTCTCGAAACATGCCGTGTGGTCGAATATCAGCTCTGTGTTGGCGGTCGTGTGTCTTCTCTCTCTGTGCCTTCCGGTGGTGCTGGCGCACGCGCACCGTGGTCAAGTCTGTGTGTTTGTACCGCTGCTCCGATTTGGCGCGGTAACGGAGGAAGCCCAATCATTCAGGATATAACAAAGCATCTCGATACATTGACTTGGAAATAGATATGTTCTATTACCATCATTTTGAAGAAATTCATGTTTCTTAATGACTGTTCTTTTCTCTTATTTTTAACTTAAAAGAGCTACTTGTCTCAGATAATTTTAGAGTTAAAATTACTTTATTAGGTTACTGGCATTGTATTGTTAATATAACATTTCAGATATTAATATCATCTTGGCCATATTAATAATGTGGATTATTTTAGCTAGGCTTTATAAATATTCTCTCATCGGTAAATGATTACAGAAAGTAAAGGGAAAGAGCTGAGCTTTTTACTGGAATATTCATCATCAGAAAGGATATGAAAAAGGAATTTATTGTTTTTTTAAATGGTATTTGGTGATGTGAGTGCAAGGAGGTGATGGGAACGGCAGCGGTGTTACAGGTACAGGAAAGGGCTATGCTGTGTGCATGGAGCTGGATGAGCTATGCTGTGTGCATGGAGCTGGATGAGCTATGCTGTGTGCATGGAGCTGGGTGTAGAGTTCAGTTTAAGAGAACGTCGTTGAGTCATCACTACAATGGTTTTGCAAATTGTCTTGTTTTTATGAGCACAAACCATATTTTCTTTAGCCTTGCACTAGGAAATTGGGTAATGAGTTTGAATGTCTAGTTTGAACACTGTAAGTGTTGGTTTCATGCCATGAATATTTCTTAACCCTTATTGTGTATTTATTTTTACTTTAGGTGAGAAATTCATCCACACTTCTCTTCAGTACCTTGATCACCAGAATATTTGGAGTTAAAAGGGGAAAGGATGAACTTTTAAAAAAAAATACGTAAGCTCCATCTAATGCTAACTTTACTTTTCATAAAATATTGTGCTAGCCAAAAATAATTGTTGGTATTTTGATTACTTTTATAGATTCATCTAGAGCATAAAACTATATAAATATTATAGTAAATTAACCTATACTACCAAATTCTAAGTTCTTGGGCAAAAATACCTACTGTTTAATAAATAGATCTTTCAAAGCATTGAAAATATTGCAAGATAGCAAAGGCTGAAATGTGAAGTTTGTTTCTCAGTACAACAGCTAAAATTCTGTATTTCTCTATCTTCAGGTATTCCTGAAGTGTCCGAATTTCTTTTTCTTGATGTGTCATCAAGTACTAGCTTATGTAATATTTTGCTTTTTTTCTTTTTAAATTTAATCTTTATTGTATTTTTTCCTGTTACCTTTTAGTCCCCTAATATCCCCCTCCCTCCAGCAGTCACCACACTGTTGTCCATGTCCATGGGTCCCTTTTTTCTTTTTCCTCAATCCCTCTACCCCCTTATCCCCCCACTAGCTGTCATCTGCTCTCCATCTATGAGTCTGTCCATTTTCCTTGTCAGTTCAGTTTGTTCATTAGATTCCACATATGAGTGAAATCATATGGTTTTTGTCTTCTCTGACTGGCTCATTTTACTTAGCATAATATTTTCCAGGTCCATCCATACTGTCACAAAGGGTAAAATTTTCTTTTTTTCGGCCAAGCAGTATTCCATTGTGTAAATATCCCATAGTTGTTTTATCCGCTCATCTGCTGATGGACACTTACTTTGCTTTTATAGCTGGAAGTTAAAATGTTTATGATACAATCATTAGTAACATGTCTCAGATTACTCGTGCATTAAACTCTGTAACCAAGAGGAGCAGTTACAGATGTTGGTCGCACAGAATAAACAATACTTTTCACTTTTAGGTCTGTTGTGTTACGTTTACTCTCTAAGATGTCTTTCTCTTAAGGTTTTGTAATGTCTGGAAGGAAATCTATTGAAACACTTTGATTGTGGGTAGTTTTTAGATACAGCGCACAAGTTCTGTTGATTTTTTAAAGAGGAGAAGCTTTAAATTGTTTTTCTCTTAGGAAGATTTAATGGTGACTTGCAGCTACTGGAACACTAGATGTCACTGTTGCTGCATGTTTAAATGCTTCCTTCCCGGGCTCCAGTTTGTTCCAGTGATCTTCCTCGTGATTTAGAGATAAATCAGGCCCTATTCCTCTTCTACCTAAAAAAGTGGATTATCACACTTTTAATTTAGATTTTAAGCTTTATTAAAATATATTTTTTGTGATGGAATTAGAAAATATCATGACATAATTTTATTATGCACTCTTGGTAATTCTAGTGAAACTTACTGGTAGTTTCGAATTGTTTAAATCGATACCTATCACCCTATAAAATTCAATAAATATTTAAAAGGAAGGCAACTGGCTATTAGTATGAATTTCCTGAGCATATTCAGGAAATACCAGACACATTTTTTAATCCAAGTTGTATTTTTAAAACAATGATAAGTCTCAGCGTAATAGCTCAGTTGGTTAGAACATCGTCCTGAATGTTCTAAGGTTGCAGGTTGGATCTCCAGTCAAGGCACACCCAGTGAATGCATAGATAAGTGGAGAAATAAGTCCATGTTTCTCTCTTCCTCCTCTCACTTCTCCTCTTTTTCTCTCTCTCTAAAAAGAGAATAAATAAATAATAAAATAAGGATAACATTATTCCTTTGAAAAGATGATTATAAGTTTTACTATGTAGCTGGTTTCTAAAGAAATTCTTCCTGTCCATAGTTTTAAATCACTAATACTTGTTTCTCCTTAGCTTTGATGATTTGGGGTAGTAATTCTATAAAATGCCAAAAACTTTAAAACAGTTTGGTTGTATTATAAGGCCATTATAGATAGTGGTGTAAATAAAACATAATATGAGGTTTTAAAACAAGTGAAGTTAATATTTAAAATAGAACTTGGAAATGAAGAAATGCTTTTTTCCTCTCTTACCTTTTATGGAGTGAATGATTCCTGGTTGTGTAATGAAGTTTGACTATGTACAGGAGAAGCTATCAGATTCATTTCACTTAGGTTTCATTTGAAGGAGGGTGGGAGAATAGCACGGTGAAACCACATTGTTTTAATCTTTTGCCCAAAGCATGCTGATGGTTCTGTCTATTATAAATTTATTACTCTTAAATTAGAAAGGCTGCAAAATAGATAACTTTCCTAGAAAGAGGGGAATGGAATATTCATATAATTGTTTTGTGGAAAGTTCAAAAGTAAAATTAAGAAGTTGATTTTTTTTACTGTGATGAATATTTTTACTAAGAGCCTTTTGTTAAATAAACCTAACAATTGGTATATATCATATGTACACAATGCCCCTGTTCTCTTCTAACCCTTCAAGAGTATATTGTTTGGCAGTACCCACTAGATTTGCTCTGCAAAACCTTTAGTGTCTTAAATTTGCTATTATTTGTCATGATTCTTCTAGTCGTAGTTTGTTTAATGATGTCACTTTTTGTCGAAGTGTTTATATGCCTGTTCCCTGTGGCATTAACTCCCTGAGGGACAGACCTCTTCCATCTTTTCTGTGTATACATAACGGGCACTTTAGGGATGCGCGTAATAACCAAGTCCTGTTGGTTGGTTACTCAGCCATCGAATGACCAAACTCGGCTGATTAGACCTCACAGACTGTTAAGTCTGCTTTCCCAGCCAGTGATCGTTCTGCACACAATCTTGAAAGTGGAGGCTGTTGTTCAGAAGGGGACTAGACATAAAAAGAACATCTGCCTTCCCTACCTAGTGAAAAAAGAAGTCTAGGAGTAAACAGACTTGGTTTCTAGGTGCTTCGCTGCCACTGGCGATGACCTTAATAAACTCCCGTATCCACCTTGTGCTTCAGTTTCTCCATCGATGTATCAGGAATAACAAGATCTGTGCTCTGTGCTTGTAGGCTGTGGTGAGATAAAACAAACGATTAGCAGTTCATTTTCTTTTAAAATACTGGAAGTCCTATGCAATTAGAGATATAATTTGCTTTTTTTCCTCTGTTACCACTTCTATTGCACTCATTTCATTGTCTTACAGTTACACTGCTTTTTGAGGACAAGGTCAGTATTTTACCCATTTCTGTATATCTGCTACTTAGTGTACTGTCTGGCATGTAATAGGCATACATAAATACTTGCTTAATGAATAAGCTATTACTAGAAAAGAGGTAAGAGTTCTTGTTCCTACTTTTGCCTTTGTTGCCATGTACCCACGATAATCAACAGAAACAAGTTAGTTAACCCTTCTGGGTGTCATTTTTTTTCCTCTAGGAGATATGCACTGTCCTCAATGTATCACTTGTGTAAAATACTCAGCTGAGGATTTGCATGATTGTCACTAGACTTGCAGGTTTGGTAAATTGTATTCCCAGTGCCTGGAACAGTAGCTTCCTCGCAGTAGGGACAAGAAGTTCCCTTGTCATACGTAAGAAAGAGTGGGGGTTCTGCTTTCCCATCGTTAAATAGGTAGTGTGCGTGCAAAGTGACTGAACTCTTAGGCTGGTTAGCCTTATTCTAGATGTGTTCTTTGGATTATGAAGAGTAAGAAAACCTGAGTTTTTAAGTAATGTTGCTACATTTAAGTTTTTCTAAAGCCTCATTTCTTCCTCTTTGTTGTTACCTGACTGACTTGGCCTGAATAGAGAATAATTAACTCTGTGTAGAATCAGAACTTGCCCAGCTATGAGATCTGGGAGGTGTGCTGGGCTCTCCACACCGCCTCCGCGTGGGGTGTGAGTGGGATCACCTTGAGAGTCCCTCATTCCTCCTTCCAGGGCAGGGGCTAAGCAATGGGACCACCTCTAGGTCCTTCCCTCTGGTGCCCGTGTGTATTAACCTTTATCTCTTCTAGGCCTAGGTTAATGACAAATACCAATACACAGCAGTCTGAAAGCTTGTGTTAGACTTTGCCAAAGCCCTATACAGGTGCTCAGTGCACAGAGTGTTCTATAGCTCTTGCCTTCTCTTTATTCTAAAGCAGCCATTCAGCCAGTGTGAATTTGTAAGCATTTGTCATGAATCCCATTGACATGATAAAGGAGTACAATAAAACTTGAACTTGCTCAGGGAGTTCACATTTCAGTTTGGGAAACAAAGGTTGTTATTTATAAAACAGATAGAGATAGAAAACAACATAAAACAGTTGCGCAGTGTGAGTAGTGGATGTATTAGAGATTCATTAACAGGAGAGTTGAGTGGAGTATTTGGGAGAAAGTGGTGTTTTTATAAGGCCTGGGAATGAGGGGTTTTGGGGGTACATGGAAATACATAAGTTAAAAGAAAGAAACGAGGCCCTGGACGGGTGGCACTTCATGATACACCAAGGTTGCGGGCTCAGTCCCCAGTCAGGGCACTTATAAGAACCAGCCACAGAATGCGTAAATAAGTGGAACAACATATGAATGTTTCTTTCTCTCTCTTTCTCTCCCACTCTCTTCCTCCTTTCCCCTTCCTCTCTCTCCTTCCTTCCCTCCCTCTCAAATCAATAAATATTAAAAAAAAGAGGGACAAAAGAATAATAATTTTCTGTGTTGTTAAGTACGATCTGTATTCTATGTTGTTAGAGAGAGCTTGTATTCAAATTAATAGCTTAGGGTGTTTATAAAAGCATCACTAGGTACAAGTAAGATCATTCATAATGGCAATTTTAGAAGATGTTCAATTGTATTTGTTTTATTTTCCTGAGTATAAATGACAGAGAGTTATTTCAGTTATTTCTTTTAATATCTGAGTGGTCTAGGTCTGGGAGGATCCTCTGAGGGGCATCCAGTCCAGTCCAACCACTGCTCGTACGCAGATTTTGAGGCAGTTTCCAGACAGACTGGCTTCTCTTCTGTTCTTCCTGTTTTCTAGGAAGAGAGAGATTCCACGAGTTGCTGTGGTCACCCACTTCATTGTTGAGGAAAGAATTGGACTCTCCAAACTGAAGTTGAGAGCTGTCGGACAGCTGGGTTTTACATTTT